GCTTACATGCTTGGAAAGTTGTTTCATGTCTGTAATTTATCTCAAGGGTTGATCCATGTTGTATGCTCCTCGACAATGAGGTGTTTTGAGAAGGACTATCCTACCGAGGATCTGGAGTTGATAACAAGATTCACATACTCGAACATTGCGTCATGAATGATACAATGAGTTATATGTGGTTGCCTAGATTTGCAGGGGTTGAGATTCATCGTCCAGCAGAAGATCCAGGGTTAAGGGAAACACAGATGATTTGACTATAAATGAGATTTGTATTGATTGAACATAGGAAGGTTGATGAAAGTGTCACTGGTATAAGGGTTCTAATATTCTTGACGTTTAGAGATTTAATTACTAGGATATGGAACTGTATCTGTTGATGATGTCTAGCTAGTCGAGTCTATGTATATGATGTGGATGACATCAGAAGGTTCTTGATAAGACATTTGGTTGATAGTACTCGAATTGGGTAGAATATGCCTAACTGCAGTATAATACATCTCATGAATGACTTTTGATCGAGAAGAATGAGTCAAGAGATTGTCGTTGTCGGTTGTTGGTGTTAAAGTGGTAATCGAGTTGAGTAAGTGTATGGGTCCAAATTTGAACAACCACGACCGTTGATGAGTACGACGACCGACGAGATCCTCGCAGCTCGACATCTTGCATAGGACGACCTTAAGGCGGACAAGAGACTGTACGACCCTTGCAGTAGTGCAGACCCATTAGGGGACATTAGGAATATTCTTTCGAATATTCCCTATAACTTGTCTTTTAGGGCTTAGAAAGGTTTGGTTCCTGATATATATAGCGTGAAACAACTTTGTAAGGTCTGGCACTTTTGCTAACCCATAATACTTGTTGTAAACTTACTTACATAAAGGATTGAGAAGATTATTGTTAAAGGTCTTTCGGTCTGGATGAGAAAAAGAATACTTATCATCCGGATTCCCCCTATCTATCTTTCGTTCTAGAGATTATTATACTTAGCTAAGATTTACCCCTTCATTTTCTTTGGTTGATTTGTTCAAAAAAGTTCGATATCTTTTGAGTCAAACAATTTAGCGCTGTCTATGGGGATTTCTATAGCTGAGATCATAGTTTCATCTAGATTCTTGAAAAAAATAATCACCTCTTCTTAGCTTCGCAAAGGCTAACAATGGCGGGAAAGGGAGAAACAAGGCTAATGGCTATAGTAGGTGCCACGAACAACCTCCTAAATTCCCTCAATGAAGCCGGTGGGGAAGACAACGAAAACGCAACGCCAAGTGCTACACCTGAGGGAGAGATCTCCCCCCCCCCACGAGGGCCTAATTGTCTCACGCGAAAGGGAAACCTCAACCTTCGCAGCAAGAGAAGCACCACTGGCCGTGAGAAGGCTATTAGAAGAATGGTTGACAAACACCTTGAGCAATATACTCGAGAAACCCGTTCAAAGGGATATCGAAGGCACAATACCCGCAGAAACCGCAGCTGTCACCGATGAGCCAGAAACTCCACGAACAGGTAACACTTTTAATTTCATTGATGCAAGCAACGATGCAGTTGCGGCCATCTTAAAGAAAATGGAAGAGATAAAAAATGAGAACAAAACACTCCGCGACCAGATGAAAGAGCATCAGGAAAGGGTTGATAAAATATCGGGCGCTCCGAAGTTGCTACCAAAACGTGATGTGGGTCGATTCGTCGAACAATCCTACAGCGAAGGGGCAGCACCCCACTCTTTTCCGAGAACCTTCAAAATGTCGCCATATAAGAAAACATATGATGGCACCACGGAGCCGGCAGATCACTTAATCCATTACGTTACCGCAGTAAAATGTAACGATCTATCAAAAGAACAGGTGCCATCAGCGCTATTGAAAAAGTTTGACGAAACTTTGACAAGGGGAGCGTTGACATGGTATTCCCAACTACCAGCGTGATCAATATCAACGTTCGAAGAAATGGCAAATAAGTTCGCCACCGCTCACGTAGGAGCGAAAAAGGCAGAAGCTAGGGTAAACGATATCTTCGCCGTCAGGAAGATGACGGGCAAGGGACTTCGGGATTTCCTAGCTCGATTCAACAGGGTAAGGATGAGCCTACCAAACGTGCCAAAAGGGATGGCAAAACAGAAATGGGTCAAAAGCAACCAAAAAACTGCTAAATAGACTCATGAAGTNCGATCCAACGACTACCATCGGTCCAATCCGAAGTAAGGAGAGATCGCCACAACGACGGCCGAAGGGACCAACTATCCCGTTTTAATCGAGAGAGGCACCAGCCTTATATCCGAACATCCAACCCACCTCCTCCGCGACAGGCAGATGTTGCACCTCGACACACCTCACCACCCCGAAATGAAATAGGTATGCCTCCATTGTTATCTGCTCGTAACTTTTGTGTTTCTCCTTCAGAAATAGTGTACGCACTGGAAAAGCTCGGCAGAAAGGTGCAGTGGCCACAAAAGATGAAGTCGGACCCGAGCACTCGCAGATCGAATGTTCTGTGTGAATTTCACCAGGAAAGGGGGCACAAGAACGAGGACTGCATAGGTCTATGACAGGAAGTGGTAAGAATGCTAAATCAGGGACACTTGAAAGAACTGCTAAGCGACCAAGGACGAGTTAACTTCGCTCGTGGGCGCGATCAACCTTAGGGACCTCCAAAACCACCATCGCCAGCTCGTACCATACAAATGATCATTGGTGGCGGCGATGATACGATGATCATCCATGTGAAGTTCACCACCACACACAAACTCAAATGGACAATTGCCCACGAACGGTATGACGACCTCGAAGATTGTATCATCTTCGATAAGTCGGATACCAACGGTTTGTCTTTCCCTCACTATGATGCTTTGATTATAACTTTACGCATCGTGGATACCGACGTAAAGAGAATAATAGTGGATGACGGAAGCATCGCGTGTATTATTCACCCACGAGTCCTCATACAGATGAGGCTCGAGGACAAAATATTACCGCGTTGCATAACACTAACGGGTTTTAATAATGTAGTGGAGCAAACCTCTAGAGAGATAGTGCTACCCGTTCTGGCAGGAGGAGTCACCCTGGAGACGACGTTCCACCTCATGAATCAGGAGATAGCCTACAACGCCATCATAGGGCATCCATGGATACACGCCATGCGAGCCGTCCCGTCAAGTTCTATCAAAAATCAAATTTCCTACTCCATAGGGGATATTCAGCATCCGAGGCGAGCAACGCACCGCCCAAGAATGCTACAGAATCGCCCAAGATTACACACACACCAAACAACTAAAAGGGGCAAGTGCGGAAGCATAGCAATCAGCCATATTTGGAACCAAACCCGACGTACAAATAGAGGCCATCAAAGACCCGGATGTTGTAGAAGCTTGCAAGACAATCGTAGAAGATCTCGACCCCGTCCAATTGGATAACACCGATGATGCAAAAAAGGCCTATATCGGACACAACCTCTCAGAACCAAGTAAGTATCATGAGTTCTTAACTAACAATGCCGATTTGTTTGCCTTTTCCCATTCAGATATGCCAGGGATCCCAAGGGACATCGCCACACACAAGCTGAATGTCGATCCTTTTTACCTGTCAGTACGAAAAATGAGGAGAAAGTTCAATGTCGCCATCAATGAGGTGGTCAGTGAAGAAGTTGATAAATTACTCGCTAATGGTTCCATCCGAGAATCGAAATATCCCCAATTGGTCGCCAATATGGTCATGGTCAAAAAGAAGAATGGGAAATGGTGAATGTGTGTCGACTTCACCGACCTAAACAAAGCATGCTCGAAAGATTCCTTTCTGTTACCACATATCGATCAGCTCATCGACGCAACGACGGGACACGAACTACTGAGCTTCTTAGACGTCTACTCCGGTTACAACCAAATTCTAATGGCTGAAGAAGATCAAGAAAAGACCACTTTCATCACTCACTAAGGAACGTACTGCTACAAGGTAATGCCATTCAGACTCAAGAACGTAGGGGCGACGTATCAAAGGTTAGTCACCAAGATGTTCAAAGAACAACTCGGTAAGACCATGGAGGTTTACACCGACAACATCCTAGTAAAGTCGAAACAGAAAGAGGATTACATCGGCCATCTGAAGGAAGCCTTCAAGATATTGAGGAAATATATAATGAAACTAAATCCTGAAAAATGCGCCTTCGGCGTAACTTCAGGAATGTTCCTTGGTTTTTTGGTGTCACAAAGGGGTATCAATGTCAACCCGGATCAGATCAGGGCCATCAAAGGAATACCTGAGACATTAACCAACAAGAAGCAGGTGCATAAATTAACAAGACGAATAGCCGCCCTGTCGAGGTTTGTCTCACGATCGTCGGACAGATGTCATAAATTCTTCAATGTGCTAAGGAAAGAACACAGACTACAATGGAATTCAGAATGCGTTGACGCCTTGAGGAAGCTGAAAGTGTATCTATCCTCGCCACCATTACTCGTCAAGGCAGACCCGAGTGAATGACTACTAGTGTACCTAGCGGTCTCCGATGTCGCAGTAAGTACAGTCTTGATACGCGAAAACAAAGGTGCGCAATCTATGATTTACTATATCAGTAAAACCTTTAATTGATGCCGAAACAAGGTACCCTCACCTTGAGAAGCTAGCTTTGGCATTAGTCGTAGCTTCACGAAAGCTTAGACCATATTTTCAATGTGACCCCATAAAAGTGGTGACAAAGTTCCCACTCAGGGCATCCTACACAAACCCGAACTATCGGGTAGATTGGCCAAATGGGCCATAGAATTAAGCGAGCACGACATAACATACCAACCACGAACTGCTAGTAAGTTGCAGGTGCTCGCCGATTTCATTGCTGATTTCAGCACGAAAATATTGCCTAAAGTAGAGCAGGAGGTGTTATGCGCTTCCACACATTCTGACCTCTGGGTCCTCTACATCGACGGCGTATCTAATGAATCGAGATCGGGACTGGGACTCGTCCTCGAAGTTCCTACGGGTGAAGTAATTTTCTAGTCCATACGATGCCCTGAGATGACTAACAACGAGGCCGAGTATGAAGCTATGATTGCAGGATTGAAATTGGCCCTCAAATATGGCACTCGACGACTCGTTCTCCATTGCGACTCTCAACTCGTGGTGACCCAAGTCACTAGGACTTTCGAAATCAAAGAACAGAGACTACAAAAGTACCAGTCGGAAATTCACAAATTGCCGCCGGAATTTGATGAATGTCGCCTCGACCAAATACTCATGGCACAGAATATCGAAGCAGACAGTCTCGCCAAACTACCGGTAACCACCAAAAATATCAACAAGGTAAACGTGGTCACCCTTCTCCATTCTGCAATAGACCAAGTCGAGGTACATTCTGTAAACCTAACTTGGGACTGGCGCAACCATCTCGTAATATATTTGTAGGATGGAATGCTCCCACAAGATAAGAAAAAAGCCAAAAAGCTTCGAATACAGGTAGTCAAATACAACCTCGTAAATTGTGATCTCTACAAGAGAACGTTCGGCAGCCCCCTGGCCAAGTGTCTTGGGCCAAATCAAAAAAGGCGAGTATTAGAAGAAGTACATGAGGGGCATTACAGCACCTATGAAAAAAGAATTCGCGGACTACGTCAGGAAGTGTGAACAGTGTCAAAAATATGCCCCTATGATACACCAAGCAAGGGAACTCCTGCATTTCGTCATTTCGCCATGGCCATTTATAAAGTGGGGGATGGATATTATCAAACCCCTCTCGGCAGGACGAGGTAAGGTACGCTTCCTTTTAGTTTTAACTGACTATTTTTCTAAATAGGTGGAAGCAGGTGTAGACACTAAAATACGTGAGAAAGAGGTCATTGCGTTCATATGGGAAAATATACTATGCCGCTTCGGCATCCCCAAAGAAATCAGCTGTGACAACGGACCTTAGTTCGTCGGAAAGAAAAAGACCGAGTTTTTTGAAAAATGGCACATCAAGCGAATACTCTCCACATCATACCATCCCGCCGGCAATGGCCAAGCCGAATCCTCCAATAAAGTCATACTGAATATATTGAAAAAGAATCTCGAGGGCGCCAAAGGGCTATGGCCTGAACTACTACCAGAAGTACTATGGGCATACTGCACTACGTCAAAAACTAGCACAGGCGAGATACCATATTCACTAGTCAACGGGACTGACGCAGTTATACCCATCGAGGTCGGAGAGCCTAGCTTGAGATACTCCAATGAAAGCGGACCAAACAACGACGGAAGTAGGCTACAAGATCTGGATGAAGTTGAAGAACGAAGAGAAAAAGCCTACATATGAATGGTAGCCCAAAAGCAACAAGTAGAAAGGTATTACAACAAGAAGGCCAAAGTACGACCACTCAAGGTCGGAGATTACGTCCTCAAAGCTAAAACACAAGTAGCGAAAGATCCTAACGAGGGAAAACTGGGAACAAACTGGGACAGACAATAGAAAATCACGGTGTCAGCAAACAAAGGAGCATTCCAGTTAGATACAATGGAAGGAAAAATACTCCAAAACAATTGGAATGTTGCCCTTCTCAAATACTTCCACTTCTGAAAGGAGGTGCCACCTAAGTCGTACTCTTTTCCCTCATCCGGGTTTTTGTCCCAATCGGATTTTCTCAGTGAGGTTTTTAATGAGGCGACAATGGGACATCTCGAGGTTCGAAGTATTGTTCATTACCCCGCCCGTCGACGTGTTCTCCGGGCCGAGTAATGAAGGGACTATATATAGATAATCAAATCTCCATTGTATGTACAAAGTCGACATATGTTTCCTACATGAAGATAATCAAATCTCCATTGTATGTACAAAGTCGACATGTGTTTCCTACAAGAATATAATCAAATCTCCATTGTATGTATATAGTCAACATGTAGAAAATATGAGTTGTGAGCATGTGAATTTTGTTTTATGCAACAATCACTCCAAAAGAAAACAAAATAATAGCAATTGGTCTTGCTGTACAATTTTTGGATTTTTACGTGGCGTTTCGTTAATTATTTGTGATTTTGTCCGTTTTATTTTTTAATAAAACAAAATACAAAAAAAAATGTGTGTGTGTCGTGTGTATTTGAACCGTAATTGATTTTAAAAGCAAAATCGTAAAATATATGTGTCTTTTATTCTATTTTTGTTTGCATTTAATGATTTTATTTTCAATTAAATGTCAATGTGAGTGATAATTGTTGTTTTGAGTACTTATTAATATTGGTATGATTTTATTTTTAAGAATTTTTATTTAATTNGCTGTCAAGGAATATCATGGGAGGGGTTTGTTAATTTTAAAAGATGAGTGGAAAAACCACAAACCAC